CCCTGTCTGGTTATAAGCTGTGTGAACGGAGCTGGCTCAGAGTTCAGGCAAGGAGAATATTCACCCCTGCAAACAATTTCTGACTCGGTTGACGTCAATGCTCGGACAGACATATGTTGTAAGCACCAAAATGAGCATCTGAATACCTTTTGCAATTACTGCATTAGTAGCCTTTTAAATATATTTTTTTTGACACTTTGTTCTCTGTTTTTCTTTTTCCTTGGAACGTGTTTTCTCTGATAATCATCTCTTTGTGTCAGGTTTTGACCAATTTGTTGTTTTTTTGGGGTTTATTTCAAATATTTTGGCACTGTCAAGCAATGTATTTTGGAATCTGTTGGAGTACAATGTTCCCTACTTTTACTATTAAACCATTTTAACATTTCTTCTCAGATGAGTCTTGGACCACTTTACTAATATTTAGAGATAACTGTCCACCTGCGTTAGGCGAGAGGTTTGCACCTGCTGCCTGGGCTGAGTAGTATGTGCTGCTCCTTGAAAGGCATTCCATGTTATATATAGCAAAGACAAAGTCTTCCTTCCACAGTATCTTTTTTATACTTATTTTGGAAATCAGAGTAGTGTAAAATTGAAAAATTAAGGGTAAGTTTTAAAGAAGTCATTAATAGTGTTTTAAAAATTAATCCAAATGGCTCTGAACTGTACCGAAAAATTGTGATTATTTCTTTTTCTTGAAAGGATCTGGAGAAAAGCAACTATCAAACTGAGGGAACTGAGAAGAATATAGGTGAAATAATGCACCCAAAGCAATTAAAAAACAGTACTGCAAGTGGCTGTAATGCAAGAAGAAATATAAAAAAAACATGTTGTGAGGCACTGAAGTATGTTTTTCCAAACATCTTAAAAAGTGTTCAGATGATCTGGTGAGTAGATCCAGACAAAGACTACTATTAGCTCTGCATTATACCATCTCTGCAAATGTTTTTAATACCATGTATGTATAAAAACTTCACAAATGCTGACAAACATCTTTTTTTTTCATAATGTGATTTAAGCATGTTGGAAGGCTGTAACTGCTTTCAGTGTGGTCACTTTCACATTTTTTCCTGTGTACCCGGAAAGAATAGACTGAGTGCACATGAAGAATGACTTGGTAAGTATTCCAATGATAAGATACAATCTAAAGGTTAAAAAAACCCTGAAGAAACTGACGTAAAAGTTCTTCAATGTCAGAAGTTTCCTGGGAATTTCTGAAAAGTTTCAGGATATATTTAATCGATAGTCAGGGCTACAGTAGTGTGAGAGCTTCATCAGCTTTAAAGTCTAAGAACAGAAGATGCAAACCGTTGACTCAGAGCAAAAGAATTGTTCCCCATTTTACTTTTCTATGAACCAAAATCAATAAGAAAGAATTTAGCAATTGCCAGCAAAGGTTCAAACTGACTAGAAATAAGTGTGTACACCCCAGCGAGCAGGATGAGGAGCTTCTCAGAGGCTGCAGCGACCCTTGGAGCAGTGCCCATGTTTCCCAAGAGCCAGGGGCTGCTGGCGGTGACATGAGGCTGCTGCAGCCACAGTCACAGCCCACGGGAGTGTGTTGGCCCTTGGCCCTGGTTTCCACAGGGGAGACGGACTTTGCTCCTGTCCTGCGGTGCCCTGGGTGACAGAGATGCAGCCCTTCTTGTGAAGGGTGAAAGGGGACAGGTTGTGCCCCTTTGCCAGCTCTCTGTGGGACTTGCTGTAGTGGGACTGGAGGTGCCGCGCCATGGGTGTGGGGTCACTCATAAATATTGTGGAAAGTCTTTCATGTTTGTATGGCTGCTGTTGTTGTTGAAGGCTTGTGAAAAAAAAAAAAAGTCTTGCTTACCTCTTTAACGTCACCTTCCTCTTTTTCAAAGCTGGTTTTCCAAGCACAGACCATTTGGTGCTACACGCACTGTATCTGAAATGCCCAACTGCAGGCTTCACCTCCTGTGTCCTCCCCAGCAGGGATTTCTAACGCTGGTAGCCCTGGTGGAAGGACTGTAATTGTAAAACATCAGCCTGGACTTGATTTCTTACAGACCTGTGTGTGCCTGTCACTTCAAGACAGACCTCAACTCCCCCATCGTTGCTGGGAGCACACAACGGGCGTCCTTTCGGCATTCGCTTTGGCAATCGGCGCTGTCTCTTAAACTCCGCTTCCCATAGATTAGTAGCGGACAATGTCTCTATGGAGATTTATTTTGACAGCTTGGGTTTTAGACAGCTTGTTCTGCATTTTGGCTTCAGCCAGAATGCCACATGACATTAAAGAGCAGCTGAACTGAGTGGACATCTGCTGTCAGAAAAGTGACCATTAAATTTACAGGCAGGCATAAACTGGGCTGAATTAAAAAGGCAACAAAATCCTACTCCAGGAGGGAACATAAACATAATGGCTGCAGCTAACACTGTTTGGGGGATTTTTTTCCTTTTTTTTTTTAAAAAAAAAAAATATTTTTTTTCTCTTCTCTGCCCCAGAGAGTATGTATACTCTCTACCAACTAATTAATCTGATTTTGGTAAGTAAATCACCACTAGTTTCTCAGGTTAACACTGAACCTTCTGAGTTAGCCTCTTGAGCAGCAAATAAATATCAGCCTGAAAAGAGCTGGAGCATTGGCCTGTGACAATGCCTGACACCACTCTTTGAAAGGCCATTATCCAGCCTCATAGAAGATAGAGGTGGGATTGGGATGAGAGTTCATGCGGGAGAAAGAAAACAACTGCAATTATTTTTTTTTCTTTCTTCTTTTTTTTTTTCCTGTTAATCAACTCATTTATTAAAATTAGTGTATTTATGACAGAGAAACCTGGATGAAATTTTACTTGCTGCATTCTAGGATATTGAATGGTATGCACCTGTTCTGTGCTCAAAGATACACATGGAGGGCAGGAAACCAGCAACAGTGAATGATTTCTTTTGAATATATGACTTAGCTGCCACATACTTTAAGACTCTCCCTGTGGGCCATGGAGAAGGGATGTGAAGGTGGCAAAGGAGGTACCTGCCCTGTGAGCAAAGAAGGTTTTTGCAAGGTTAAGCCTTAAAAGTGGTGAATCTCTCCTGCTGGTCTGGCTGGTGCTATAGACAACCAAACTGTCCCAACCCAGCAGCCTCACCGATGGCATGTGTGCAGCTCACAAGGTGGGTAGCTTTCTATCGTGTTTCCCTCATGAATCTCTCATGAAGGTGTCTCCTTCACCTCGTGAATACTTGGCCAGCATGACTGGACAGGCCAATGGGCTGGGTGGACTTCTGCCATTTATCCCATCACCGCTAACACTGAACACCATCAAGACACTGGTTCTCTTCTGCCTCTGCTGAAACCTTTGCTTTCCCAGATGTTGCAGCTCACACACGGGGAAACTCTGGATTTGCTCCTGACTCCCAGATATTTTCTAACTAACTACATCATATGTAGCTTACTACTGTCATTGCAGGTTATAATGAAGTGTAAAATTATAAAATTATTATTGCAGCATAATAATGTAATTGTTTTATTAGGGAATATTTCCATGGCAGACTACAGAAAAGGACCAGAGGCACTGGTAGCCATGGCCTTTTTCTTCCCAGAAACCCACTGAAAGCACATAAAGATTGTCTGCCCCTGCTTACAAGGCTGCACTGGTGCCACTCTTGCTGCAACAGCTTCAGCAAGAAATGTCCCCAGCAGCCATCACTGTCAGGTGAGGGATATAAAGCTGCTGCATCTGCTGTGATAGAGACCAGAGCTTTTCTCCTTTGCTCATGACTTACCGACATGTTAAAATGTAGGGCAGCTGTTGAAATATCAAGTACTGCACCACAGACAAATAAGATTTCAGTTAAAAAAAAAAATTAAAAATCCCATATGCTTGTGGATAGATGTTGGGAAACAGCAGCCTGGCAGGCTGCTACTCACGAGCTGCTGCCTGTACACAGGAGGCAATCACAAAGCTCTGCCACAGTCCCCAGCACTTTCCCCAGCATTTTGCTGATATGCCTTGAAATCAGAGAGCCTGTCAATTTAAAAGCTGTAGAATCAGTCCGATGTCTTCCGTAGGCTTATAGCGGCTGTGCTATTGCACACACCCTGACAGCCATGTATAGATCTAAGCTGTCACGCTATAAATATTTTTCTATCTTGGTCCCGTAGGTTAGAGGTTAAGCAGGTTCAGGCTAATCTTGATTTGTGACCCAGCTTCACACATACTGGCAGTGAGGCTAAGCCCCTTTCCGGCGTTTTCTGCGGGCTGTAATGAAGCCCATACACACTAGATGGCCCCAGGAGAACGCAGGACTGCTTGAAAATTATAACCCAAACCGGCTATTTTGGATTAAAAAAAGATAAAGAAATTTGGTTACACCAAATCCCTTCTCAGACAATTATTTAGGCTGAGTTTTTCTAGGCAACCAAAAGGCACTTGGCACAAGTCTTACGGGGAAACCAGAGAATGACACTCAAATTGTGCATTTATGCAACAGAGAATAACTTCCAAGATACTCTTTTCTCAGAGAAGTTCGCAGACTGGCTACAGCTGTGTCACTGTTTTCATGACCAATGTGTGAGAATGGCAGTAGTGGGGTGTGTGGGAGAAAGTTGTTCTAGAGGCAAAGTTGTGCCCTTCTCTCATTTCTGTGCCACAGTGACAAGTTTGGGGAGTAGGTTTCACGCTCACCCCATGCAATAGCACACCCTGCACAGAGCTGTGGGCAGGGTTTGGGGTCTGATGGCTTATGCAGTATGGCACTATGTGCTGACAAGCTACAGCTGTGAAGGCTGCCCCTTGCTGTTGTTTTGTGCCTTGATAAATGCCATTAAGATATAGGAGATGGAGACAGACCCCTTGAAACAAAAAAAAAAATAGGCCTGATTAACTACTTGTAAGGGCTTAGGAACAGAAGTGGGTTTGGCTCTGCCTTCACACCAACTACATAAACATGTCTATCAGAACCCCCGCAGCTAAAGAACAAATGTCAAGCATGGTCCCGGGGTGATTTTTAGCTCTTGGACACAAGCTGTGAACCATACTACATGTCTTCTTTAGGGCTGGGTCCCCAGCAGGATTTATTTCTGCGTCAAGGAAGATTACAGCTAATAGGATTTGCTTCCTGGAGGCTGTTGGCATGTTTGGTGCAAACCCTGCACAGTCCTTTCTTAAAGGAGAATATGGACCCTATTTGTCACATTTTTCTTCTTCTCCTGCTCTTCCACAAGATAAACCCATCTGTTTTGTCTTGTGTCACAGGATGCTCTTGTTCTCAAGACAGCTTTGGAAGGTAAGAATGCTAGTTACACTACTTGTAGCACCAGCAAAGCAGCTTGGAGAGTCCCAGTATATATTTACTGATGATGTGAGCACCAAAACCAAACAGATGGCCGCATGGTATGCCTCCTTTAATACTTGAATAGTACCAGCTTGCGTGCACAATGAGATTTCTCTTAATTCCCTGAGATACGTAGTTGTATGTGTAACAATTTTTATTACTTAATTGTATTGTTTGTGGGAAAATGGGTGTAAAACCCAGGGAAGCATGGATGTATGACTTATCTATGTCCTATATACAAGACCTTATGATTACTCAAGTGCTTGTGGACCTGTGTAGGGAGCTGGTTTGTGTTTGAACATGATGTGTGACCTGAAGAATTTTATGGTTTTCTCCTTAGGAGTTTGCTCTGCATGTCTGCACTGCTGAGGCAGATCCCTACAAACATCCCTCAGGACCTCCGGAAAATTAGAATAGAAAATTCTCACCTAACAGAATTGCCTCGTGGGTCTTTTGAGAACGTTAGTGCCTTGGAGTATCTCTGGCTCAATTTTAACAACATCACAGTGATGCACATCAAGAGCCTGGAATATCTGCAAACTCTGAAGGAGCTGCGCTTGCAAGGAAACAAATTAAGTTCAGTGCCATGGACAGCATTTCAAGACACCCCAGCTCTGAAAATCCTGGACCTGAAGCATAACCGGCTGGATGTCCTTCCAGAACACGCGCTCCGCTATCTGCCCAACCTGACCTATTTAGATCTATCCTCAAATCAGCTTACTGTCATATCAAGGGATGTCTTCTACAACTGGCCTGTCTACCAGAGAAGCCAGAGGGCGGAGGGGCAGATAGAAGCTATTTCCAATGCTGTCCTGGCCCTTCATGACAACCCCTGGATTTGTGACTGTCGCCTGCGAGGATTTGTCCAGTTCATCAAGTCAGTCGGCCCACCTATTATTCTGATGAATTCCTATTTAACTTGCTCAAGCCCAAAATTCAGAGCAGGGAAGTTTTTTTATGAAGTGGAGCTAAACAGCTGCATGAAGCCCCTGACCTCAGCTCTTGACACCAACCTGACAGTCCCAGTGGGGCTGAACGTCACCCTGACCTGCTTTGTGCAAGCCAGCCCTTCCCCAGCTATCTGGTGGACCTATGCACTCAAACTTTTAAGGGCATTTAATGGTAAGCAAAGCTTTTTCTTTCATTAAAAATTTATTTTCTTCTATTATACTTATGTAGGTCTTCAGACTGTCACAGTTAATTCAGTTTTCAGCCCCTTTAGAGCATCATAGTTACTGTGGTGGCAATAATCCAGATAATCTTAATCATCCTACATGTCTAAGCACATCTGACTGACACAGGAGTATCGGCTTCACACAGGATATGAGTCAAAGATGAAAGGAGCATGGCCTCATTTTTACACAATTATTTTATGTGTGGATTTTTAGTAGCAGTTCTTTATCACACATGATGTAAGAACTGCTAGTAATGCATCAGTCATACATGTATAATAAATATGTAGTCATCTAGACATGCGTATATACTCACACCATATGTTATATACTATACATATGTATATACACTCTCTGTATGATTGTATTTACATGTACATGTGTGTTTTTAGAAGCACACACAGACACACTGGTATGTTTCTGTACTATTCCCATGTATTATCTCAAGAAATACCCACACAGACCGCAAAAACCTACAGCCATGTTTCCTGTTTATGTTCTACAACCAAAACAGAGGTAGTCATTCTCCATAACCTTTCCTTACTTATAGCCTTTATTGAAGGCCTTGTAACGTGAGGCCTTTTCCTCTTCCTTCCCATCTAGCTCAGCTCTTACGTGCCCTCCCTCACATTTATTTTTAGTAAGAGCCTTCAATAGCACAGGTTGCTATTTTCATCAGGTAAGCTAATAACACATACAGGCACTGCACAGGTTATGTGTGTTCCTAATAAGCCAGCTAGCTAAATGAGATAGCATTAGCCCTAAATCCTGGACCAATTTGCTTTAATTGCTGTGTTGTAGCAGCGCTTGTGCAGATTTCCACAAGTACATGCTAAATTACTTATGTACGGGCTTTTCCTGACCACAGCCACATGCCTCTGTTAGGGAAGCTGGTGGGGTGGTTCATACTGGTTTTAAAGCTGCACCTCGCTTCCAGCCCAGTACTTCCTGGCTCCATACGCCTCCTTTTGGCCCGAGCCTCTTGAGACCAATATTTTTCCTAAAGGGGAATGGAATGTGTGTGTGACCAAAATGCAGCTCTGCCTCCTGCACCTCACAAACTCTCCCTGGGTTGCCCTGATGGCAGCTGGCACACAGGTTTGGTCTCTGCCTTCAGCATCCTCCCCAGCCACTAGCACCAGGGCAGAGGGAGCTGGACACAACTCCTCTCTCCTGTGCTTAGGTGTCCCAGTACATTTATTGCCTTTTGGCCCAGGTAACATTTTGCTGACAGGCTCTGTAGGGTTGGTGCACTCCTGCACTCCTCTTCCACCTTCCCTGGGAAGGGCAGGTCCTGCCTTGTCCCTGTCTCACACCGGAGTGGTCTTGGGGCTGCCCCAAGGGCATGGTGGCTCTCTGCCTGCATGGCAGGAGGGGCCTCCATCTGCTGACATGGCTCCCCTTTGCCCCGCAGTGTCAACCGAGCACGTCAGTGAGGAGACCATACGCTCAGAGCTGCTGATCCCGTCTGCACGGCCTGCGGACGCCGGCAACTACACCTGCACGGCCGCCAACTTCTTGGGCAATGCCTCGGTGGCCATCACCCTCCATGTCGGTGCCCCATGGGCTTCTACCACTTCACCAGACTGGGCTCCCATCGCTCCTGCTGAGACGGGTGCCCACGTAGAGGTACGAATCGCCAAGCAGACGGTCTATGGCATCACCCTGGAGTGGTTTGCAGTGGCAGCAGCAGCAGAGCCTGGGGAGACCTGGTACACCCTCCTGGTGGGTCGCTACGATGCCGCCCAGAAGGATGCCATCTACATCGGCCCTGGTGTTAACACCTACTCGGTGACCGACCTGCTGCCCGCCACC